TAATAAAAAATTTTATTTAGCAGTTTGAGTCTAACGAATAACGGTTAAGGTCTAAATTTGCTAATAGATTGAAAAAGTTACCTTTGATAACTTTTTATACCAAACTGCTAGTAAATTAGAATTTTTTTATTTTATTAACAAATTTATTCATTTTAATTTATTAATTTTCAGTCACCATTTTTTATTAGTACTAATTTAATTAATTTCAACTTTATTTTTTCTCTTTAATAATATTAAGTGATTATTATTTTTTATTTTCATATTAATTTATCATAAAAAAATTGTATTAGCTTAATAAATAAAATTTGCTCATTAAGTAAAATGATTAAAATTTTTTTCTTTATTAATATAATTTTTTTGTTAAAGATAAAAGTAAGTATGTGATTACACTACTATAATTTTTTTATTTTCTTACTATTATTTTTGTAAAGTTAATAATTTAAATAATAAAAAAATAAAAAATACATTTAATTGCTTTTAAACATATATTTAGTAGTTATTTAACATTAAATAATAATTGTTAACCACTGTATTACCAAATAGTTATATTAATTGAAACTCATTATTTGTTATCCACCACTTGTTATTTGCTAACCGTCACCCACTATTTGCTATTCACTACTTGTTACCCACTACCCACAATTTGTTATCTACTACGCATTATTCGTTGAATTTTAATCATCATATCAAATAGGCTCATAATAAAATAATAAGATATTTAGTAAAACTTGACTCTAAATTTAAGGGTGCTTCTATAAAGATTGAAGGTCCTTAGATTAACAAGGGTTCAACGGTTCCTGTAACTTTTTTTTCTTTCTTTTATTGTTGTAATTCCCTAAAAATTTTTCTAAGATTTTGGATTTAAGTAAGCCTATGAAGAATTTATTTAATTGCGATGTAAGAGAAAAATAATAATTGATTAATCAATTTAGGGAGAGATAACTGAAAAAGCAAATAAATAAAAATAAGAATTAAAGGGGGGGAATTATTTTGGGATCAAATTACCTAAGTTTTAACTTTTGAGGTTTAAAATGTAATAAACCCAAAAGTATAATTTTAGGTGGACAAAGCCTAATTTTTTCTATGTTATAAACCCTTTGGCTTTGGTCGATCAACCTAACTGCCCATGAAGCCGTCAACTTCCTAGCCTCTCTTTGATGCTTTTTCTTCTCCTAATCAAGGTAAAGACTTGATTTTTCCTTGTCTTGTCTCTCTCGAGAATGAAATTGAACCTAAAATTTCCATTTACAACTGATATTTTTCTAGAAAATATCAAGATTAACTGCTGTTCATTCTTCCTTATTTAGTAGTTAGCAACTACTTAGTGGGTGTATTTTGTACAACTTTCTGGTAAAAAAAAACAACTATAGTTCATCTTTTTTATCGTTTGATCGAGTTGGGTTAACTCTATTCTTTTGTTATCTTGATTTTGGGGATAATTTCCACAATTCCTCCCTTTGATTTTGTCAGTTTTGTGAATGCCAAATATGGCTCTCCTTGCTAGAAAATTCTAGTATGTGACCACTACTATAAGTTGATTTTAAATGATTAGTGTTGAATTATGGAGTGCAAATTGGTTGTTAGAAGACTTTGGGTGCTTTTATATTATCTCTTGTACACAAATAATTTCTAGTGCTTGCTGAATTGGTTGTTAGTACACTTTGGTTATTGTTATATTACCTCTTCTACACAAATAAATTCCAGTGTTTGTTGATTTGGTAATTAGTACACTTTGGGTGCTACCATTCTACGTGTTTTACCCAAATAAAATTTTAGTACTTGCTAAATTGGTTGCTAAAACACTTTAAGTGTTGCTATTCCACCAATTTTACTCAAATAAATTCTAGTATTTGGGTGATAGTTGGACGAAGAGTGTGGTTGGTAATTGGAACTATTATGGGTTGGAAAATTGGTAAACCTAAGTTCTTTCTAGTTTGGTTAATTCATTAAATCTTACATTGGAATTTAGAAATTATGTCAACTTACAATTTAGAGCTTTCAAAGAATTAGTTTTGGATATGCACAAATTTGAAGGTTGTTCAGGAAATTTTAGAAGTGATAGTGAGAGTAAGCAGCAACTGTTTTGAGTTAATTTCTAATTTATTTAGTTGTTGTTTTTATTGGATTAAAAATCTATTGAAGGGTGCAAAATAAAAGAATTAGCTTTGACATGTTTTGTTGTTACACTTGGGCAATTCAGATAAAAAAAAGAATAGTGTTTAATTTCGATCTAAATTAACAACTTGACCCTGCGTTAGTAATCTGGCCCTAAATTCCTTTATAGATTTCAGATTAAGGGGATTCATGACCCTATTGAAAGCTAAGACATAGGGCTACAGTTGGTCTGTTAATTATTTAGCCTAGTTGGGTCAATCTCTGGGTGCAAATTCTGTTGCAAGTTTCAGTTCAAAATCTAACCAAAACTTGCCCTCAAGTGTCCAAATTTTGTAGTCCATAGCTTTATTTTATTGTTATTTGTATTTTTACTCTCTGGTTCTTACACATCTTTGATAACCAAATTCATGGTTGGCAAGGGATCTTAAATTTCCTATGGAGGTAAGTAAATTTTTGACTTTGTCATTGGCTCTAAACTAAGGTTTTAAAAGCATGTATTTTTTCTCTTTTCTAAACTATTTTGAGTTTGAAACAGGACTTGACCTTATTTATATTGATATGAGCATGTCATGCTTTGACATTAGGTCTATAATTGTTATTCAGTGAACCTTGAGCATGCCTTTTCATGAGATATAGCTATTGAAGTGATTTGAAATAAGTTCTTGCTTAAATTCCTGCATTGTATTTTGTCATGACTCCTGTTAGTCTGTCAGTGGGAGTGTAAACACTGATTATTCCTATTATATTCTTAATGGGAGTGTAAATACTAGTTATTCCTATTATCTTGTTAGTGGGAATATAAACACTGATTATTCTTGTTATCTTACCAATGGGAGGGTAAACATTGATTACTCTAGTTATCCTGCCAATGGGAGTGTAAACACTAGTTATTCTTGTCATCCTGCTAGTGAAAGTGTAAACATTAGTCATGATTATTTGAGAAAACCGTTAAATAAATTTGTGAAACATTATTAGTTATACTTGAGGTTCTACTTGATAACCTATATTTGGCATGTTTGTTTTTTTAATTAAAATAAAATAAAAATTATTTAAATAGGGCTATCGTAAATCTATTTATTGATTCATCTCATAATGTCTTTTCTATCCATATTTCAGATAACGAGACTACAAATGTTGGGAAGCAAGGGGTGTGACGAGTTAGATAGCTTGATGGCTTATCGATGGGTTGACATTAGATACTTGGAATTTTTTTTTTTTTTTTTTAGGGATGTATTTAGATAATTTTTTGATGATTTTGGAGATTATGTATAATTTACAAATGTTGGGAAGCAAGGGGTGTGACGAGTTAGATAGCTTGATGGCTTATCGATGGGTTGACATTAGATACTTGGAATTTTTTTTTTTTTTTTGTTAGGGATGTATTTAGATAATTTTTTGATGATTTTGGAGATTATGTATAATTTACCGTGATTAGGGTGCGTTTGGTGCAGCTTCCCGAGTGCTTCAGCTTTTTAATACTATTTATGTTTCATAAATTTAAATTTTCCTCCTAAAAATTTACATTTTTAAATATTTTTTAACCTTAAAAACATACTAAACACTGAAAGATTAAAAGTTTCAATTTCAAACTTTTCATAAACTTCTTTTTACTCACTTTTTATGCATTTTTTTCTATATCTAAAAACAACTTTTAAATTTTTCCTTCAATAAAAATTCAAAATTATCACTCATGAATAGTACAAAAAAAGCAAAAGTTCCAACAAACTGCACCAAATAGGCCCTTAGCTTCCCAACTATTGATTTTTGTCCATATGGATTATTTACATATGACTAGACTTTTATAATTATAGATTTTAGTGGACTATTAAAAAAGTATGGATTGTTATATAATATATTAAATAGGTTTTAAACCTTGTATACTTGTGGGACCCACTCATAGGTGTACGGTATCTACTTTATCTTGGTTTTAAGACATGACACACTCTAAATTTTTTTTTTTAATTTTTTTTAAAAAAAGTTTTAATCCTATTGATTTTTAATTGCAATCATAATCAAATTGTAAGCTATAACTCCCACAAATATTGAATTCTAAAAAATCTGAAGCTTAATATTCTACATATTGAATTTGAAAAAAATTAAATCCTAATAATCTAAACACTAAATCTTAAAAAATTTAAATTCTAATACCTTAAATTCACATTATTAAATACTAAACTTTTACATTACTATCATCAAATACTAAAAAATTTTAAACTTAATGTCCTAAATTAAAATAATTTTATTTGATTTTAAAGACTTAAATATGATATATTTTAAATTCAAGAACTTAAAAATTATAATTCTATAAACTCAAGAGCTTAAGATCCAGTTCATTCTTTTTATTTTTCATATATATGAAGAAAGCACCGGACAACCAAAGACTTCATGTTCATGGGCATGGGACTTCGGCACAATAGCATCTTTTCTAAATTTAATTCGTTCTAAATTTAATTAGAAATTGAATTAAAGTTATAATTAGTAAATTATAAGAGTATAAATTTAATTAAAATTTGAATTAAAGTTTAGAAATTAAATTAAATTTAGGTAATATATAATTTGAATTAAAATTTAGAATTTTTAAATTTTGAGTGGGTTTTAAATTCTTACTAAAGGGGTTTATTGTTTATTTATTTTAAATTTTATGGGTATTTTAAAAGAATTTATTAAAGATTTTTAAGATATTTATTAAAAATTTTATTAAGTATTTATTTAAAATTTATTGATAATTTTAATAATTTTTATAATATAATAAAATAATATAATAAGATAATAAGATAATAAAATAATAAAATTTATAATAAAAAAATATAATAAATCATAAAAAAATTTCATTATTATCGTAATCCCGTGCAGAACAGACTGCAATTCAGTTTTCCTATATGAATATTCGGCGTCTTTGTGCGTAATTTGGTTTGCTCCACCACCCTCAGGCCCAGGTTAGGAAGGAACTTGGAAGAAAGCAATCAGCAAAAGCGACCTCCATTCAATTCTCCATCGCTCTCTAATTTCTGAATCTGAGCTGCTCTGGTTGTTTAGAAAGAGAAGGGTTTCGATCGGATATCAATTAAGGCATGGGTCAAGCTTTTCGCAAGCTCTTCGATACCTTCTTCGGCAACACTGAGATGAGGGTACTCTTTGTCTCTCTGTCTCTCTGTCTCTCTCTTTTTCTCTCTCTTTCTCTCTCTATAATGTTCCTTAGCATTTCGATGTTGATTGGCATCAGCAATTACTTTTCTTTCTGAATATTTTTGGCTGATTGTGGAAAATCTCTACATATTGGGTGGTTGATGTTTTGATTTGAAGATACTAAAAGATGACAATAATCCTGATTGTTTTCGAAACTGAAAACTGTTTAAGCTTTTTTATTATAAAATTCTTCAATTTTCCGTGTTTAATTGTCGAACTAGGGCCGACCGAAAAAGAAAAAATTGATTGATCTAGGTTCTGTTTTTTTATTTTTGTTCCCTAAATTATCAACCTATATGGTTGATTTCTCAAACAAAATGCTTTCTTCTCTTTGGCTCTATGTTGACTTTGTTTTGTGGTAATCTCTGCTGGAAATACACTGGATGTCACCTTATAGGATGCTTAGTTGATATATTGATGTGCATTTATATGTTTGTAAAGCTTTCTATGTAAACGTGTATGAGATATAATTAATTAAGCTGTATTGCTGAAATAAGTATGTAATTAATAAGATAAACAATGAAAAGAGAGAAAGCCAAACTAGGTGCTAACTAAGAAAGTTTAATTGTAAAGCCAAAATGTCACATGGTGCAATTTGATAGTATTTCCTTAGTTTTTGTTGTAATCTCTGTGAAAACATGTGCCATCATAGTGGTGGTTGTCGTATTCTTGGAGTCCAACCGTTCAAATTCACTAGTTTGATGACAGCTACAATCAAATGGAAATAGGAGGCATTTAAAGAGTCCCATGTCATTCTAATTCTGAAAAATTTTGTCTCTTATTGGTCGTTCTGCTATGAAAGCCTTCACATGAAGCAAATAATTTATATTCGGTCTTGTTTCAGTTTATTCTTAGTAATGAATGTCTTCTGTTGGTTGGAGTTTATCGGAAGTATCTTGAGGTTCTTGGCTTATCCTTTCTTGTTGAAGATGCTTAAAAAAACCAGTTAAACAAACTATTTGTAGTTAATGAAAGTGGAATCTCAAAATGGTTTTGATATAGATTTTTGATGGTCTTCTCCTGAAGGATAATGGATCTTTGAATTGATTTAGTAAAATAATGCATTTACAAATAAGCAGTCTGTGCATCAATTGGACATTTATTATATCATTTATAATTTTTGTTAAGAACTTCTGAAAGAATTCTTTCTACTTCAGGCATTGCTGTTTGCTTGTATATGGGTTAATATGAATGCTCCATGTAGCATTGGATGGCATTACTCATATAGTGTGTGTGTGTATATATATATAAATTTTTTTTTTCTGGGTACAATGCATCAATCTGGAAATAGTAAAGGTTACACAAAATATTATTGGAGAACAGTCCTAGTCCTTCAGTTTATTTTTCTTTAAAAAAGAAGAAGAGAAGTTGCTTGAAGGGCTCAAGATTATTGTTTCAGATATCTCACATGCCTAGGCAGTCATTCAGTTATTCTGGGAGCGTTATTACATTGAGATTGGTTTCAACATTTCTAGCCCACTTATGGAAACAAGAGATACTATCAGTTCAAGTATCACTGCGAGAGATAGTGTATAAATAAGTGATAAGCAAACGTTATTTACTTTCTTAAATTCAATGCATTTTCTTCTTTTTGCTCATCATTTAGCTATTGGTATGGTTATCCTGTCTTTTGTTAATGCATCCTTGCCTTCTGGTTTTCCTTCTATTATGTTGTTGCTAGCATCAGTCTGTTTATTTGTGGCCCTTCTATCCTGTCTTAGTGACTAAACTGTTAGACATTGCATCTTTAACTCTTTTTTTTTTTTTCTTTTTTTTTTTTAAAAAAAAAAACTTCTTTAACTTCATCTTATTCATAATTTTTTCTGAAACTGGCCTAGGTTGTGATGCTAGGGCTTGATGCAGCAGGCAAAACGACAATATTGTACAAGTTACACATTGGAGAAGTTTTATCCACTGTCCCAACTATTGGTAGGAAACTTAACTTATAATGACTTGATTTTGGATACAATTGTTGATATGATGGAGGCTCATGTTTTTGGTTGTTCTACTTGTTTTTCTCTATATAAATTTAATAAAAATATTCCAACTTCTCTTTTAATCTTTTATGATTATTTCTTGTCATCCATTAAAACTGTCCTGTGATGCTTAAAAATTTGGGTCTATTTTCCCAGATTTTAGAGATTCAAGCTCAACATAATTTTCCACTTTTTGGCAGTTTTTTCTGTACATTCTTGAAAACTCTTAATGTTTCATAATATTTGTCAACTTAGACACCAGTATGTCCATGGATCATGAACAATTTCACAGTATCTATACTAAGCTAGAATTAATTTATTATGAATTTCAAACAATATTACTGGCTTTTAATTAAAATATTTATTATATTTGAAGAAAGCTGTATTGTGTTAGGTTCATCTTTTTTTATTTTGTTGTTTTACAGGATGTGGAGGCCCGTCGTTAGGTTCTTGCTTTAAGTTTTATGACAACTAATTTTTGCTAGTAACTTTTAATCTTTGTAAGTAGTGGAAAAAAAGGATGCATAATTAGCATTTTAGGCTTTAGCAACTTTAGCATGCTAAGTTTGTTCCGTATTTGGCTTAACTTGTAATATTTAAAGGTTCACTTGAAAGTTGTGAACTTAACTGATGATGGGTATAACTCAGTAAAGTATTAAACTAGGAACTAAGAACTATAACAACCTTCACTCTCATGTTAGCTGTTTGGTCGAAATATTCTAATTTCTCATGGTGGGTGCTCATAACTAGTTAATTGCCATTGTTGAATCTCACTAAAAGTCAACTTTTAAGTGGATTCATGTCATCAAAAACTCAAAAAAGTAAAATAAAGTCTCTGCACATTAGAAACTAAAAATATTCTTAATATTTCTTTTATTAGTGTAAGTATTTAGGTTAAGCACCTTATTCTAAAATGTTAAATTTCATTATAATGTAAGTGTTGGAATTGTTGTTTATTCACGAGTTCAAGATCAATGAAGAAGGGGATGTATTAAAAATTAAAAGCCATTCTTAAATCCCTACCTATTCCCTTAAATCTTTTAAATTTAGCTGTTTTTAACAAGCCAAATTTGTTGGATTCCCCTCCATCTGTAAAAGGATTAACTGTCGTTTTGTACAACTGAGTAAGGAATGGCATTGTCTGAAAAAATACTACTATTAGGACAGCTGATAATGTCAGTCATCAATCAGAATTTGTCAATATGCAGCTTAGGAACTGATGGTCAATTCCAGCCATGCATAGAGTTTCTTTTGTCACCAAATCCACCACGAGCATAGAAATCAATTTACTTATACTGTAGGACATTCATCTATCTCTCTTTTTTCTTTCAACAACTGTTAACATTTTGCTTCCTTGGTGGACAAATGAGTTAATTGTGCAACTGAATCCATTTTGTTGTCTCTTCTAGGTTTCAATGTCGAGAAGGTTCAATATAAGAATGTGATGTTCACAGTTTGGGATGTTGGTGGACAAGAGAAATTAAGGCCACTCTGGAGGCATTACTTTAATAATACAGATGGGCTGGTAATCATTTAGCTCTTACTCTCTGCATGTCCTCTACAACATTTTTTTCCAAATATGCACTATTTATTGGTTTGGGAGAATTAAAAAAAACATGTGAATATTATATGTATATTTATTCCTTTTTCATATAAACAAAATTGCTCAACTTTTGCTCTATCATCATCTTTCTAAAGTTTTATAGTTGTCCTCTTCTTTTAATATTATTTTCTTTCCAGTTACTACTTAATTGTATGTCAGAAGGGAATGCTGGAGACTCGCAAATGTAGGCATAGAAATCTGAAATCTATCAGCAGGAGTTTTTTTGTTATTTATTATCATATTGATTATATTTCGCAATATTGTGCGAAACTATGGTGTTTGCCCTGTAGTATTATTTCATCCTCCATTACTGATTGGAAGGATAAATATATTTTATATAACTACAGTGATTTATGTGTGCAGATTTATGTTGTTGATTCCTTGGATAGAGAAAGAATTGGGAAAGCTAAAGCAGAATTTCAGGTTCTAAATTTAAAATGGAGACAGTCTCAAACATTCTATTTTGTGTGATGGTGTCTCAATTTTATTATTGACATTCTTTCAGGCTATTATCAATGATCCATTTATGCTCAACAGTGTTGTCTTGGTATTTGCCAACAAACAGGACATGGTATGTTGTATGTGCATAGGTTCAGGCTTCATGTATATGGCATGTATTAGACATTCAAATTTGAGTAGTCTGACTCAGTAATCTCTTGAAATTTATTGAGAAAGAGGAAATTCTTTTGTTCTTCATTTTTGTTCTTCGGCTTCCTCCTTTTTCTTTTTGTTGGCATTCCCATGATATATTAGGTTAGAAAAGGTATTTTAAAATTCAACAAACGGTAGAAATGGTTGTAAATATGTTCTTTTCTCTCAAACTACCATCATCCCAAATATTATTATTAAATAGAAACTACCTTCTTTTGTTAATTTTACAGTTAGACAAAATACAACCACTCACCTCACTACATCAAAAATTTACATTTTTTCTTTTTAGCTTAAGCTTTTAGGATATTAGGTTTTATTGTGGTATGAAGATTTCTCACTTAGTAGTCCAGACTCCAGAGGTCAAATCCCGAGTTTCCTTATTCTGAGGTATCAAATTTGTTAGTCATTTACATCTAATTCATGTAAGTACACAATTTTTTAGCACGCTGCCTAATGTGGATTTATTATTATTATTTTATTGCTATTATTATTATTATTATTATTATTATTATTATTATTATTATTTTTTCTTCTAGAAAGGAGCAATGACTCCAATGGAAGTAGCAGAAGGACTAGGTCTCTTTGGTCTCAAGAACAGAAAATGGCATATACAAGGGACTTGTGCTCTCAGGGGAGATGGCCTCTATGAGGGCTTAGATTGGTTAGCTGGAACGCTCAAGGAGATGAGAGCTGCTGGGTATTCTTCACTGGGTTCATCATCATTCTAATGGTTCAGGTAAAATGTCTTATATCTCCACTTTGCTTACCATCAAGCGTCTGTTCATATACAATTGAGTGCTGCTATAGGAACAATTTTTTTATATCACCTTTTTATACAACTTTCACATATCATTAAATAAGTGAATGCATTTAATATCATAGATCTCACATAAATTAAAAAAATTAATCATTTTAATGATACGTCAAGTTGTATAAAAAAAGTGAAATAAAAAAGTTATACAAAAAGGTAGAATAAAAAATTTATACAAAAATCATTTTCTTATACAATTTTTGAAGCTAATAGTTAATGATTGAATTTCACAGGTACATCTGAGGCAACTTGAGTTTGTCTAATGATGGCCGTTTGACCAGCGGGTTGTCATAAATTGTATCAAAATTTTCTTTTGTTGTGTTTAAAGCTGATTAAGTTTACTTGGATGCCTACCATTGGCCTTTTATTGTTGCTTAGACTTGACAACTCCTATGTATATTAATTGAAGGACAGGTCCTACCTCTCAAGAAAATCAGTTAAAACAATGAGGTTCTTGTTATGATTATGATGGAATATAGACAATATTATGAAGAAGGAAATGGTTCTTAATTCTATCACTCCTGAAGGCTGTTTTGGGATATTATTGCTCTACACGCGGTAAAACGATTGGTCGACAGAAAATTAGAAGAGAAAAGGACATGCCTTGGGAATTCAATTCACCTAGGAGAAAGATGCCTGTCCCATTAGGGGCTTATGTGATGTGAGTAAAGTGGATAGGTTGACGCCAGGGTTAGTGTTTTAAAAACGCGATCCGGTAGTTCAATCAAGTGACTTAATAAATTAATAATTTTAGTAATAAAAAATATAAAAATAAATATTTAATTATTTTTAAATATTTAATTATTTTTTATTTTTTATTTTTTATCCAATATTAAACAACAACCATTTAATGTCATAGTAAACTGTTAATAATTATTATAATCAAATAATTGTATCAATCAATGTTAACCATCTACAATACATTATGCGCTAACACTACTTTCCACTCACCAATCTATAATTAGTTTGATCTGGTGCTGCTTTTGGATTTCTCAAGAGCTAAATAATAGTACATGAGATGGTGAAATTGGCAGTAGGCTCAAACAAGAATACAGTTTCCAATTGTTTCACTGTATAATTAAATTAATTGGAATATATCAAGAGTTCGTAAGTAAATACACCCAAGTGAATCTCGAGCCACCTACTTCACCCTACTATACTTTCCCTTATAAATACCGCAGAAACCGATGTGCACCGAGTATGAATGCCTAATAAAAACAAATACAGTTAATATGTCTCCTTAATCTTGATTTCCTAACTCGTCTAATTATTGAAAAAATGCAGAATTCTCACCTTGACAGTGCTGACAATGTCTACTGATGACGGGAGTATTTTTGCCAAAACAAAAGGAAAAGGGGGA